TAAAAAAAAAATATAATTTGTTTCTTATCCTCCACGTGCAAAATTTTAAAGGCAAAGCAACCTACGTCAAGCAGCAACCGAGTACAAAGGTCATAACTAGAAGAGATAATTGTTTGATATACTTCTTTATTTACTGTTCTATGTTTTAAGGAAAATGACTTTAAGAACTTATTTCAAAATAGCAATAATCTATATACATATATAATGTATAATATTGAAATGTGACTGTATTTTACAAAATACTAGTGGACTAAAACATAGCCAAGACAAAAGTTACTTTGTACAGACCAAAGTTCATCTTCATGTTATTTGATACAGTAACATGAGTGCACGTGAGCCGCAGTATTGTAACTTCTATATTGTTAGCCAGGCACAGTTGAAAGGTCAACATATTAAAAAATAATATATACATATAAATGTATAATGTTATGAGATTTAAGCTATTTCGTCTAAACATTTATGTTTCTGTGTTATAATTTGTGTTCATTCTAGAATGAAAGATGCATAATTTATGTTTATTTCCTAATTTTTTTATGGTGGTTGTGAGATCGGTCAAATTTACCAAACCCACATAGAGATTAATTACTGAAAATAACTAATAAAATATAAAGTTTTTTCTTCAGAAACATTTGATAGCTATTTGGACATTATAAAGATTTCACATACGAAATTTCGGAATTTACTAAAAAAATCATTTTGCTTCACATCCTCCATGTGCGGAATTTCACAAGGCTTAATTAGCAAATTATGGCAACCAAGTACAAACTTTGCAAGTAGAATAGATCATAGTTTTCTGTATTTCTTTATTTATTGTTCAATTTTTTAAGAAAAATAACTGAAATTTAAGAACTTATTTGTAAGTAGTAATAATATATATATATACATATGTAATGTATTATATCGAAATTGTGACTGTATGTAACAAAATACTGGTCCACTAGAACAGCTAAGACAGGTCACTTTGTAAAGGCCAGTTTTATACCATTGTATAAGGTAACATGTTTGCACATGCACTACATCATTGCAACTTTTGTAATGTTAGTCAGACACGGATGAAAGGTCAATAATGAGAGGGTTAAACACTTTTCTGTGCAAGTCACTGAGTTACATTCAAAATTTAATAAAACAACTATATTATCAATATATGTGAGTGAAATTAACATTATAATATATGTTATGATTCTAAGTTTGTATTATCTAAGTGTTAATTCCTTTACTTCAAAAGAAACCTTTAAAAAATACTTAAACTTCAGTTGTGTTGTCACATGATCCACAAGCTATGGAAAATCTCAACTACCACACTCTTTCTTGACTAAGATAACGAGAGTCCTGTAGATTTAGTATGTCTAAACAATTAAGTATGTATATTTGCCCTACTGATACTTAAGTTTCAAAGTTCTCTGGCTGAATGCAGCAGAAACAAGTAAAAATTCTGTCAACCCCTGATGGATGCCATGCACACCTTCTATGCATATACTTGAGCTTTATAACTTATATGTAGTTGCTACATATACATGCTTATAGTAATTAGAAAGAGCTCATTTTACACTATAATCCAACAATAGTTTTTTTGAAACTGGTACTCAGTTGTCTTCATCTGGTGGATGTAACTGCCTGTTGTATTGTTGGTTGGTTTATCTACGATACCACTTAGTTTTTTCTTCACTAAATATGTTATAGTTAGAGAGACAGATAAACTGTATTTAGGTCTTTCTTTTATATCTTAGGACATAATGTGTATGTCAGTATCTATGTATTGTATGTAACCAAAACTCCTGCGCCACCTACATAATGGCACCATAAACAAAAATCCAGAAATAATTTCACACATTGGGTATTCAAGATTTAGACAATTACAAAAATAACTGTGGTAAGGGCAACAACCATTTTTTTATAACAGAATAAAATAAAAATAAAAAAAGAACACAACTTTTACTAGGATTGTACGTGAGGGTTTGACTATATTTTTATTGATGTAATTTTTAAATATAGTACTGAGAAAATGGAGTTCTTAAAAAAAAACAACATTTTTTTCAATAAAAGAAACCAGTTTATATCAGTAACATTTATGAAAATATTGAGCTCTGTACATTGATTCATTTTGATGCAATGAGTTGCGTATGACTAAAGAGCACAATCCAAAAACTTTTCCCGTGCAATACTTACAAGAATAAAATACTTTTTTAAAAAAAAAAATTCACTTATTCTAAATTTTTTTCAATAAGGTATGAATACTACGATTAGTAATTACTAGCATTTCTGCTAGTCTTCATTAATTATGTATTATTTATATTTTAAAATGCACAACTGAAAGGTTTAAACATTTTTTAAATGTACATCATACTTTGCATCAGTTCTCAAGGCTTAAGACCTTGCGCAATGGGAAGATAATTTTGCAAAAGGCTTGTGCGTCTCTGTTGCAGATCCTGCAATTATGCCCCAAGGGCACCATTGACTTAGCCAAGATGAGTAACAAAAGGTAAAGGACAGAAAAGGAAAACATTAAAAATTAACAATATGTGAAAAGGAAAACAACCGAAATTATGAATATAACCAAACATAGATCATTTAAGATATTCTATGAAAAATTAAAAGGTGTGTACATTTTTTCTATTTCTTAATTTTAAACATTTCATTGCACTGTATGTTGATGATAATATCTGTAGTTTGTGATATGGTAGAGAAAATTAAAATAGAAACATTTACCTTAAAAAACTTTTGATATTCATTTAGGAGGTTCTTGAGGTTATGCAAATACAATATGAAAACTATATGATGAAGAAAAGTATTTTTATACTTAAAATGAAAATCACCTTGTACTCTTAATAGTTAAATAAAATATTTTATGAGAAACAATTAACATAATGTCATACTTTGTGTACAAGATACTTATAATTTTTAAACTCTTACCAATTTTTGAGGATACATTAAGAAATCTCAGAGTTACAGTATGTATTTTGTACAAGTGATATTCCCATATGGCCCCCTACAAATTGTAAGTGCCAGAAAGGGTTAAGTTTTCTTATCTAAGCTAACAAGTTCAGGCTTGGGCTCCTTACCATAGGAATGACACTGAATTGTTGGAAAGGGTTCAGGAAGGCTACTAGAATGGTGTCTGGGATGGAGGGATTGCCATACGAGGAAAGGTTAAAATCTCTGGAATTATTTTCTCTTGAAAAAAAAAGAAGAGTTGGAGGGGATCTGATTAAGGTGTTTAATATTGTTAAGAGAACTGATATTGTTGATGCATAATCTTTTTTCATACTCAATGTTGAGAATGGTAGGATTAGTTGATACAAATATAAATTTTGGCAGGGTAGGAGTAATCTTAGATAAGAGTTTTATTTTTCTAACAGTGTGAATGGCCTTTGGAATGGGTTGCCTTCGGATGCTGTGGAGGCAGTCAATTTAAGTGAGTTTAAAAGAAAGCTTCATAACTATTTGAATGATAAGGGCTGGTTTTGAGGTATTTTTTTATTTAATAGTTTTAGTTTAGTCTAGAGGATGAGACAGCCTAGATGGACCAATAGATCCAGTTTCCCTAAACATTATGTCATGTTTTTCATTTTTAAGTTTTAGTTACTTTTGTTAAAAAATATATAACAATAAATAGAAAATATACATAAAAAACAAGAAACTTAAAACTTACATTAGTTCTAGGCCAGTTTGCACTTTAATACCTGCTTTTGTAAGTTATCTTTATTTTATTTTTAACTATGTTGGCTGTCCACAAAATAATTCATATAGCTTTCATATATGAACTTTAGAAAACCAAAAAGATCACTCAGTAGGTAAGATTGTAAAAAACTACTGTAATTTCTCGTAACCTATAAATAGGTTTAAAATATTTCATTACTTCTCAGAGTAATATCTTCGGTCCAAATACTTCAAGTTCTGACAGCAAATTATCAACTTTTACAAAACATATGGCCACGTGCTTTATGTAGTCTTTCTAGAGGTTATAAAAATGTACAATAGCAACGTCAGAGAGAATTACAGACATTTCTTTAAAAAATAGAGGGTACTTAGGTGGGGGTGTTAATGTGGGTTGAACAAATATAACATCTCACTAAAGCAAGAAGAGTTTGAAAATTTATATAAAATCTGAAGTGTTTATAAGGGAAAAGAAATGTATAAATAAGAAGTCACAGTGCCACCAAGTCATGCAACTCTGAGAGGCACATACTGAGAATATTTCCTTTTAAAACTAAGAAATTAAAACTTAGATAATATAAATTTGAATTATAGACTACTATTTGATGCTAAGTTTATTGCCATATATTGATAATGAAGTTGTTTCATTACATTTTGAAAGTAACTCTATAAAAGATCACGACATGCATTTTGACCCTCACACGTACACATCAAATAACAGGAACATACAAAATCAGGTAATACAGAAACATTTGATGAAGAACACACAACCAAATAATGTCAGAAATAACGGGTGAATGACATGAATGTACAGTTTCAATGACGTACAAAAAAGTGAATAAAGAACATGTAAATACCTCCAGATACTGTTAAAACTGGGTAAATAACACATCAGATCTACGTTTCAATGGTCTACGAATGGAAATATAAAAACTTACCTCATATAACATGAGCTCAGTATCTAGAGGAAATCCTGCCCTATGATTCAGCTCTGAAACTAGCTCCTCTGGAAGATAAAAACAAACTCCTTAATAATCCACTCACAATGTTCTTTTAACAAGTCAGGCTTAGAGAATTCAGTTTTATATACAATAAAGCTTTATGAAGTCACATGTGTGTTAAAGCTTACTTTACTCTCTCACTAAGTGAAAGGGTTAATGTCTTAAGAACATGAAATTTATTGTAATTTTTTTCTCAAGCCAAAAATAAGTAATTTAACATATTTGGATATAATCCATTGCTATTTGTAGAATTTTACAAGACAAAAATATGGAAATAAAAAAATAATAGGCTAATTCTTACTTGCTTTGGCTGTAATTGGCATGTACATGTGTCCACAATAGGAAATTCTTTTGTTTCTTGGGTCATATAATTTAAAAAACAACAGTACATCACCTGTAAAACAAAGTATGAGCATTATTGTATTGTGGAGATTAGTTACTTACTTGAACAAACAAATTTTGAGATATTAATGTTAATTCTATAAAGAATATCAATATTCTAGGATGTATACATTTTAATAATGAGAAATATTTGACGTCATTAAAAAGGAAATGGTTAACCTTTTTAGAGAGGACAAGAAGTTCCAGGAATTGTTTACAGGTGAAATGAAGATACTGTTCAGTGTCAGTGGGAAAGAGAAGGTCCATGATTAAATTTAAAGCTTCATCATGATATTGGTATATAGAGATTCAATATCAAACTTGTCATAACATATTGATCAGCAGAGGGAATTTTAGAGAAATGTAGTGATACAAAATATTTTGTAACAAATCATGAGAAATAGTTCTGTGGCTAGATCGCTCTCTCTCACACACATTGCAGCAAAAAAAAATAATACAAAGTATTTATCTTCAGAAGTCACATCACATTTCATGCTGTTTTTACAAACATTGTCAATGAAAAGTTGATTAAATACAATCTCTTACTAAATTCTACCCATTCTGTTTCTCTGACACTCACTTTCTTTGTCAAATTCTGGCAGACAGTCAGCTCCTGAGTCAGGGTCCACAGTCTCAAGAAACAACATCCAAGGGTTAGCATTATCTGCTATGTCTATAATCTACAAACAAAACATACTGTAAATCTAATGGTTTTAAACCTGCTTCACAAAATGTGATACTTTTTTATCCATAACTGATTTATGGCTTTTAGCAAACATTATCACTTAAATTTACACACATCTGAAGTTTTTATTTTTAAATGCAAAGCTAAGTGATTAAGTAATAAACTGAACTATATATTCTAGTAACTTGAAGCGGAATTTTGTTGAATAGTGTTCATTTGTTAGTCTTGGAAATAGATGGTTTCCACCTGAAATAAAATTATACTAAGAACAATTTAAAGTAATAATATTTTTAACAATATAAATTTTTCTTACTTGTAGTGAAGATTTTCATAATTACTTTAACCATGACAAAACACAAATTCTAATTTCATATTGTCAGGTGATAAGTTCGCCAATTGTCAATGAAAGGCTTTTATTTAATAGTATAAATATATACTGTGTTGTTGGGCTTAGGATTCTTCTACAGTAGGTGTCTGCGATTTGTTGGCGATAAATTTAACAATAAATGAACAGCACGCACTCCACTTGTTTTCAAAATAATGTGTGTGTGTGTGTGTGTGTGTATATTCAAACTGGTTAAATGTAAGTACAACAAATTCTTTACACTAGAGAGATTACAGTCATATCATAAACACTATATAGTTCTCTTCTTCTTGTCAAAAGGCCACTTAGGCCTATTCAACTGCTATAGAATTTCAGTTGACAAGCTGAACTACCTTTCTCTATTTCTATTGCACTAGTATTCCATGTATAATTCACTTACTCTGCCTTGTTGAGTTACTGCAATTGTATCTTGAACTTTCGATACTTGTCTGCTGTTTCATATTTAGACCTAATTCCAATAATCATCTGTTTTTTTTGTCAAAGTCCACATAGACAGGTTCAATTGCTTTAGAACACCCTTGGACAAGACAAATTATTTTCCTAAAGTGTCAGAAAGCTGTTAATATCACTTTAACATATCAACTGTTAGACTATCCACTCGTATGATGGTTAACTCGTTTTCTAAACTTTTCCTTGGCTGCACTTCTACTTCCCCTTCTCTGGTCTATCGTTTGTTCTGTCGTCTGTTGTTACCACTTTTCTCACACTACTTACATGTTTATCACTTAATCATCTGCCTGCCTTCAAGAAATCTCTATATTCCTGACATCAATGTATTGCATGCGACATTCGACAGTCTCAACATGAATGATCTATTAACACAACTTCTAACAATTGTGTTCTATTAACTCTTTATTATAAAAAATACACTAAACAATCATACAATATTAACTCACAAAATAAATTAACTAATACTACCTACACAAAACAGTCTTTTAAATCATGACACATACAAACCTTAAAACATGACGAAAATAAGTACTTCTAAACAGATATCAAACATGGTAGAAAACAAGTACTTCTAAACAGATATCAAACATGGTAGAAAACAAGTACTTCTAAACAGATATCAAACACGGTAGAAAACAAGTACTTCTAAACAGATATCAAACACGGTAGAAAACAAGTACTTCTAAACAGATATCAAACACGGTAGAAAACAAGTACTTCTAAACAGATATCAAACATGACAGAATACAAGTACTTCTAAACAGATATCAAACATGACAGATT